TGAAACGAAAAACAGGACTATGTAGCACTTTACAGACTAACAAGACGGTTTATTAGGTGATGAGCTTTCGTGGGCCAGACCCACGTCCTCAGATCAAATAGTGGAAGAAAGTAGTCACAATTTTCCACTATTTGATCTGATTTCCACTATTTCCACAATAGTTCCACTATTTTCTTCCACTGTTTGATCTGAGGAAGTGGGTCTGGCCCACGAAAGCTCATCACCTAATAAACCATCTTGTTAGTCTGTAAAGTGCTACATTGTCCTGTCTTTTGTTTCAGCTGCACCAGACTAACACGGCTACATTTCTATCACCATTTACCTGAGGCTCACTCCAGAGGAATTTCTTTCTGAATTCGGGGAATGTCATGTCTGAAAATTGGTTTAGACCCACTACAAAGAAAAACAAGTTGGATTAACCAAAGAGCTAGGTCAAAACCACGTGCCAGAGAAACAGAGAGCAATGGGAGATGAAATCAAAAAGCACGAGCTCGCACTTTCAAACGTGTGATTCCCAGCATTGTGTCTGTCGATTCGCCTCTTGTTGGTGACAAAGATCTGCAGCCGTTGGTAATACTCCTCCAGACTGTACTTCCTGTTGTGCTGCAGAGGAGAAAGGCACAGACGTCGTCAATGGCAGATGCAGGATACAGAAGTGAAAATTCACGCCCCGCAGATCACGGCTGAGAAGGGATTTTTCTCTATAACACAGGTGGCTACACAGCCAGGGCATTCCCATCATGCACTGCTCCCAGATGGGTGGGAGGTGGAGAGTCACCACCGTCTTGCCATAGAAAACCTTGAGGACCGGAGCGAAGAGAGATGCGGCCACGCTCAGTGGAGGGGCAAGTGTTTGGGTGCGTGCAGGGAGCTGTAACGCCGCAGCATGAGATGCACCAGCAGGAGCCCCGTGTACTACGAGTTATGCACAAGGATTATCGCGAGCCTTTATTCCTGCAGACTTAGCCTTGGCCAAAGCCGCAACAGCTGGCCCTTGGCCAGCACGGAAAATCCCCTAGCAGGAAGTCCCTTGCAGGGCGGAATGGCTGAACAACAGTAACGAAACCAATCTGGTTTTTCCATTTGCAGAAATCAGCCTAGGGCTTTCCCGGCCTGAGCACTCGGAACATCTGCAGAGGGCAGGAAACCCGCCACAGCATTCGGGTGGAGAAAGCAGAAGTTTTACCTGCAGCATCCACGACTTAAAGTGAAATTCCTCTGGAAAGAGAAATAAAGAAACAAGCATTGAAGGACCTGGACGCCTCTCTTGCTCGGTCTGTACAGCCCCCAGCACAGTCCGGCCCTGTTCTCGGCTGGCCCCTTGGTACTACCATGATACACGTTACAAAGTGAAAAAAAATTAAACTAAACCGTAATTTTCAAAGCTAAAGCAGGAGCCCTGTGGCGCCCTACGGACGAACAGCTTTATCTGGGCACCTGCTTTCACGGGTAAAACCACTTTGTCAGATGCGCTTGTGGGTTTTACCCACAGAAGCTGATGCCTTCATAAATCTGTGAGTCTCTAAGCTGCCACAGGACTCCTTGTGCCTGCAGCTACAGACCACACGCTGACTGCTCAGAGACGCTTTAACTGTCCATAAAGTCCTGTGCTCGGTCAAGGTAGCAGCCTCAGGGAGCTCTGCCCATTCCTAGCCGCTGATGTAGCTGACAAAGGGTTTGCATCCATTAGCAAACATCAATTTCCACTTTCCCTGCAGGCCAGAGGCCCCTGCTCCCCCTCGCACCCCCCATCCGAGTTTCGGGCCCCCAAGGGCCTACCCTGCCCTTGCAGTCAGAACCTAACAGAGACAGAAGCCACGGCCCTCCCTGGGCATGGGAGCAGTTTGTATGGGGGGGAGGGCTGCGAGCCACTGGACCAGACTGTAAGCTCTCGAGATAAGGGGAACCACTCCAAGCCAGCCCCCCAGAAGCTCCCTGGGCCAGCACCGATGCCCTGTAGTACCCGGGACCTGCTGAGCACGGTCTGTGAACTAAGCGGCCCCCTCCCAGGCTCCTTCATAACCCTGTTTGTAGCAGCCAGGGAGCAAAGTCCCGAGGCGCCGGCTCCGCCCCAGAGACTGGCGCACGGAGAAGGAAGGAATCGGGCAGCGTGTCCCTCGGCAACGAGGCCGACTCAGCGAACACAGTGGGGGGGGGGCTATTTGGGGGCCTGGAAAAGGACGTTTCGCAGGGATCAAAGCGTGGTGAGCGAGCGGCCCCCTCCCCTGCCAGCCCCACACCGGTCTCCTGCCAGAGGCCAGGCGACTTCGCGAACGGCCCCGGGATGTGCCACTGCGGGTCCTGCCGTCACCTGCCTCCCCAGTTCTCGTCCCAGCTCCCTGCTTAATAAGGGCCTGGCCCAAGGGGCCAACTCGCTCTGAGCCCCGGAGGGGAAGGCAGCAGAAAGCAGGGCCAGGGTGCCGGGCACCCCACTGCCGGGCCAGGCCCCTGGGGGTTCCAACAAAGGCATCCCCAGCAGAGGTGCT